CTATGCAAGCCATTCTAAAGCAGCCAGGGGTGGATTCTAAATGGGCCAAAAAGCAGAGACAGGACCAATTGTCAAAAGTTTGGTGTCGATCATTCGATTTCATCCTGGACACTACAGAAAATGGGCTTAAAGTGTAAAAAACCGAACTTCTCCTTTAATGTTATTCAATGTTAAGTTAATCTACTGAGGCCAGCTAGTGGAGAAGCATCCCGCTGCAGTCTGTGGGAAGGCGGGGCTTGACATCAAGCCCTGCCCACATCAAGGACAGCCATATTGGAAATGCTGACGTAACAGGGGAGGGAAGCACATAGACATATATGAAGAGATATGTAAAGATATGTTTTCATCTTAATTGTGAAAAGTTATCCCTCGAGCCCTGACGTCAATAGTCCGTCAATTTAAACAAAAATATGCCGCACAGTGCTGAGGCATCATTAGTGTGTTCAGCTTGAATCAGCAGGTTTAAGTAGCAGGTCGACCGCCCCAATATGGCGGCCGTAACAGCGCTGCGACAGCCAATGCGGGGTCTACTCATATTATGTTCGGAGTGCCACTTGTTAGAAGTTCAAAAGTCCTTTAGTTTGCAAATTGTATTCACAATGTGAATAATAAGAGAAATATTTGGCAAATAAAGAGAACAAAAGTGCACTGTGAATACTAAGTTGGCCAAAATTGTTGTCTAAATGTCTTGCCGACCAAACCTTTTTTCTATCTAGTCCTTATTCTAGTCCTTATTAAATAAGGCAAACGCTATTATATTTTGTATTTTAACTTCTTTATTTTAAGAGTACCATTCACAACATCAAAATCTGTTATTTGAACTTCAGCACCAGCAAGTATTTGGTTAAATCGGTTTTCTTATCAACGCTGGAGATAGGCACGGGCAACCCCCGCGACCCCAGAGGGATTAAGCGGGTCAGAAATTTGATGGATAGATTTTTTCGTTTTTTTTATTTTTTATTTTATTTAACCTTTATTTTACCAGGAAGACCCTTGAGATAAAATCTCTTTTTTGAGGGAGACCTGGCCAAGGGGCAGCAGTACAATAAGACATATAAAAACACATAAAAACAACATAATAAAATCAATCATAGATAGATTTTTTTTTCTCTATCTGGGATGGACTGGGAATCTGTCCAGAATCCACTGCACCAGCCCTAACGACACCACTATAGGGATAAGTGTGCGTGTATGATAATTATTGGATAGATAGATAAATGTGTCCTCAATGTAATGAACATTTGTCTCTAAACTACCAATTTAATTTACGTTTTATGACATTTGTCTGTGATAGGGTTCATATGTGTTCATCTTCATAATAATTCCTTATTGTTTATTTTAGACTGTTTGTTACTAATGTTATTTTAACATCTGAAAATAAGATTTAAGAAAGATTAAAAAATAAAAAGGACATACCACGTGACAGACATACCATGTGACATAATACATTTTTTTGGCCATTTCTCTCGCCAGCGCCTATAGGCAAGAGCGCACAGCATTTCCAATATGGTTGTCCTTGATGTGGCCTTCCCGCAGGCTGCAGCGGGATGTACTTGAGCTGGTTGTAAATGTTATAATTTTGTCTATTGCTAGATCACTAACGCGTCTTGTGGTCACTTTTATTACAACATCTTGTTTACCAGAAAGGATGAAAGCCTGTTGATCCATGTGCTCTGAAAGAAGCACTTTTTTTTGTTGTGTTTTCTTTAAAGCTACAGTGTGTAACTTTTAGCAACATCTAGCGGTCAGACTGCAGACTGCAGCAACATGAACATCTCCCCCCCACCGCTTCTCCCCCCCAACAGTACGGCGAGCGTTACGGGACAAAATGTCTTCCACGACGTCCGCATCACCTACCTTCTCAAGTGATGAGGTTTGTTTACATAGATAATTTTACAGATAGTATTTCATTAGTCTGTGTAGGGTATAGATTTCATGTAGACTTAAGATAATAAATATACCCGTTATTTTTTCTACATCGTTTTGGCGATCTCGCAATCGCTAGTTTGTTGGCTCTGCGCTGCCGTAGCGCAAAGATGTCTGCCTCCATGACTGCGAGACCCGCTCCTATGTAATTATAAATAACGAATTCTAAGGCAACGCAAATATTAAGGTTAAGAGGCTGAGCTCGTAGATGATGATAAATAACATAGTTATGTATAATATATTACATTTCTGACTGTATATCCCTGTAATTATTACACACTGTAGCTTTAATCTAAGTGCAAAATGGCATTGTCTGTAAGTAATGTTCTAATTTGCCTGCCATATAAATCATAATTCGTAACCCGTTGACATGTTTTATATGAAGATGGACATTTTTACTTGTGTTGGCCCAAAGTGTTTAGCCTGGGTGCCGTTCCAAACTTAGTCCCGCCCACAACGTTTGAGGTCGGGAAGTTCGGTCTGGCATTGCTCAGTAGTAGCGCGAGTATGCTCGCACAATATCTGTGCCTCGCTTATACGTCACGCACTCCGTTGCTCTTATTGGTTGTAGGTCTATCCAATTGAGTGCAGAGCCATTATTTTTCCTGGTTCGTTCAAAACACGCCCCATAATCACAGCTCTATGGAGCAGTATCAGACTCATATTCTGACTAGAATTGAGTAGGACTACGTCAGGCTACAATGTGTTAGCCTAGCTGGCATTAGTTTTCTGTACCTTGTGTTATAGTTTTACACGATTCTCTGCTAAAGAACCAAATGCAGTGCTTCTTGGTGGACGGATGGGAAAGTGTTTAGCTACCTTTATAGCTGAGTTAATGCTAAAGGTTGCAGTGCTTAACGAGGCCAGGACATCAGCCAAAGCCAGAAACTTTGGTCTTTCTGTGAACCCTGCTTTAGTTATTTCCTTCTGGGATCTTACAACTTTGCCTCTCTCGAAATGGTGTTTAATCTGTTTTAGAACGTTTCAGCAAAAGTATTACCTGATCAGAAATATTTTGTATTTCTCTGACTTAAGACTTAATCTAGAGAGGTGAATGTGGCTTTGAATTTAAAAAGACATCGATGACCTCTCAATCTGTTGGTCCAAAGTGGTCTGCTATCAGATTCCAAAACATGGAGAGAATTATGGATCATATAGTATTAGTGCTGCTGATTGCTTTCGGGAAGGCTAAACTTGGAAGGGATAAGTCTAGCGCCCCTAGTGGCCAAGGATGTGACTGTTTTTCCTTTTCAATCTTACGAAACAATTCATAAAATTAAAAGAATAAAGTTGTAACATTGTAAGAATAAAGTCCAACTATGATGAGAATAAAGTTGAAAAATAACAACAATAAAGTCATCAAACCACGACCCCTTTCAGAAAGAAAGCTTGGAGCTCTGACCAGCCAGCAGATTAAGGCCAACCAGCTCCACCAATCAGCAACCTGAGTCCACTTTGACATCCTGTCCAGTTTGATTCTGATGCTAAAAGATTTCCTGATTTGTCAAACTGATGCCAAAGTATAACTTCACATGATGCTCCACATTCCTCATTTTAGGGATGACAGGGCTTCTTGAAAGAGTTGTCATAAAATACAACTTATTTTGCGTAATATTAGGACTTTATTCTCATAATATTACGGCTATTCTTGTAATTTTGACCTTAATCTTGAAATACAAAAAAAAATAAAAAAAATCTAGCCTGGTCCTTATACTCTGTACTATCTAATTTTAAAAACCGAATTCTCTCAGAAAAAGTTAAATCTGTAAAGGTTTAACTTAATTCATTGCTGTTTTGGCTGGACAGAGCTAACGCTACAGGACCTAGCATACATTAAAAACAATTGAAGGGATTACAATATTTCTACTGTAATGTTGTTACATCAAAACTAACCATCTCTGAGATATTTTATTTTATTGACTAATGGTGCATCCACTTCGAGGTCGATGCACAAATCAAAGTGTTCTCTACATCTTCAGTGAAATGCTAAATAGCAGAGTGTTTTGTTGTCTTGTTACACGAGTGTTTTTGTTTACAGTCCCAACTCTCACTTTTCATCATTTGTCATGAAGGTGGCTTCTTCTTCGCTGAGCCGATGCGAAACAATAAATACGTGACCATGATGGATCCCTTCCAGATCAAGTACGGCAAGGTCCCGACAGCGGCTCTGTCGCTGGCTTCTCTCATATCAGAGATCATGTGGGTAACAGGAACGCTCATCGGATTAGGTAGGAATGTTTCTATATATGCAACCAGTGGAGTGTGTGAGTGATGCATTCCTCTCCATGTGCTGATCCTGGCAGCTGTTTGTGGCCGCGCTTTGCTGAGGTGTTGAGTGAAACTTAAAACTCTTTGTATTGTCCGGCTGTGAAATAATCCCATCCAGAGAACAAGCTCTCATATGGTAGCAGCACCATCAGCAGTGATCACTTTCAGGTTCTATTGTTTCAAACATTTGCTTAAATTTGTTCTACTGATGTTTCTATTGTACAAAATAAATAATAGATTATCATATTATCAAAGAAGAAGCAACACAATCAGTTTATCCATATTTATCTTGTAAAGCACCCTGTTGCTGTAAAGTTAAACTGAGAAAAAGAAAAGATTCACAGTTCAATATCTGAGGAAGCACATTCCATCACTTTTATTAGAGACCTTATTTACATTTTTACTGAAATTGTATTTAAAATAGCTGTTTTATTTGACCCTTCAAGACTATAAAATATTGATGTGCAGACTGACACCTCAGTAGTTCAAGTATCTTTAAGCAGTGGTGTCAAAAGTACACATTTGTTACTTGAGTAGAAGTATAGATACTGCAGTTTAAAAACACTCTGGTAAAAGTTAAACCATCAACTTGATGTCTTTACTTGGGTAAAAGTGAAAATGTATGTGCTCCAAAAACTATTTAGAGTATAAAGGAACCTTTAAAAAACAGCTAGATGCCACTATATGAATTGAAAGCTCAATTTTTCGACTAATTCTAAAAATTCTGTGAGATAGGGCCAAGGATGAGGGAGGTCTTGTTGGTCTCCATCTCCCGATACGCTCTCACCTGTGTCCGACCTTTCAGACATTTCAACATCTTTTTCTGA